GGAAGCCACCGAGCACCGTCGAGGCCGCTCGTGGCCGCCAGAGCCCGGCACTCGCAAGACGTCTGGGCGGCCGCGGAGAGCTGGGCGGCTGGCCGGGCCCCATTCGGACCTGTAGTCGCGCCTGCGGTCGCCGCCTGGGCGGCTCGCCGCCGCTGAATGGCAAGGGGAAGGGGAGAAGTGAGCCTCCTCCTCCTCTTCCTCCTCCTCCTCCTCCTCCTCCTCCTCCTCCTCCTCCTCCTCCTCCTCCTCCTCCTCCTCCTCCTCCCCCTGTTCAGCATGCTGCCGAAGTATCTTTCCTCCTCCCTCGCTCACCAGGTGCGCCGCCGTCCACAGGAACCGCCAGCGCAGCGTTACGAAGCAAGCTGAGCCCAGCTGTGCAAGCGAAAAACAGCAACCCAGCCACGCGGCGCACGGGGGTGGAGAGGGGCAGACGGCCGAGGGGTCCCGAGCCCACGCCGCCCTCGCCAGCAAGCTCCCCAGCACTTAGCACGGCGCCGCCGCCACGCTCCGCACGCCGGGGGGGCGACTGGCCACGGCGCCGCACCACCCACTGCTGGGAAGTGCCGGCTGAGACCCGACCTCTTCCGTCTCGGCCCCTGCGACGCCAAAGCTCCAAGCATGCTGCGCGGCAAAGCGCTCCAGGGCCTTGGCCTCCCGCACCACGTGGACGGTCGGCTGAGGCCCGAGATCGCCTGCAGCAGCGGCCTCGACAACTGGTGCACGCCATATCACCGACACCCCTCTGGAGATGTCATCGACGCCCCCGTCCTCGGAGACGCACTCGCGGGGCTCCTCCGCCCAGCGCTTGCAGTCGTCCTCCAAGCTGCCGTCCGCCTGCCATTGGGGCCTCGCTCCCCTGTGCATCTTCGCGCCGCCGCACCAGTCCCAGGTGCCCAGGGCGCGGAGAGCGAAGCTGCGCGTCGCCAGCAGCACCTCTGGCGCAGCTGCACTCACGCCCACAGGCGGCGGCGCCAGCCCGCCCGCCTGCCGCGGCAAGCGGCGGCAGGTGGCGCAGGGCGCTGCCGAGGGCCAACAGCTCCTGCGCCTAGCTGAAGTCCAGACCCGCCGTGCACAGGAGGCGGGCTGCCATCAGAGGGGAGGGAGGCAGCACTTTCGTTTTGACCAGCGCGAAGACTGCCCTGCGGCGAAGCGAGGAGGCGGCGGGCGCGCGGCCCGCACCCGCGCCCGAGGCGATTCTGGCGCGCGCGGCGAGCCGCCCGCGCAGCGCCGCCCTCCAATCGCTGTTCCCGCGCAACGGGCGAGGACTGCCAGCAGCAGCAGCAGCAGCATCAGCAGCAGCAACAACAGCAGCAGCAGAAGCAGCAGCAGAAACAGCAGCAGAAGCAGCAACAGCTCCGCCGCGCGGGGTGGCAGCGCCGCCGCCCAGCCGGCGCACGGCCACTACGCCAGCCCCCACCACCGCCGAGCACAGCCCCCGCGGAACGCAGGCGGGCGATCCTGCCGGACCCCTGTGGCGCGCCGGGCGGCCACCGCTGGGCTAGGCATGGCCAGCGAACAGGCCTGGACCGCTGCTGTCAGAGCGGGTGGCGCAGAGCTGTCGGGCAAGTGCCAAGCCCGCGGGCGCGTGCTGCGCGGAACCGTCCAACGACGCCAGGCCCTCGGCCTAGATACAATGCAGGTCGTTCATGTCGCATCGACGAGGAGGTCATTTTCTGTCTGACACCGCGCATATCGTACAATCTCGAACGATATGCGCCAGTTGATCCAACAACGGAGATCGTGTGGAGTGGGGTTCAGGCCGCTGGTGGTTTTTCAGCCTTGAGCGCCCGCGCAGGCGTCGCCGCCGCGTCGGCGCGGCGCGTTTCTGCCATAATTCGACCAGCGCTCAGCACAGCTGGCGGCTCGATCCAACACGCACACCGGCCTGGCTCGAGGTCAGCGAGCGAGGGGCAGACGCAAAAACACAGACCCATACCCTCGAGGACAAGAAGTGAGGAGGAGGCCGAAGACCAGGACGAGGACGAGGCCAATGAGGACCAGGAGGACGACGAGGACGACGAAGATCACGACGACGAGGACGAGAAGAACAAGGGGGGCGAGGAGGACGAGGACGAGGAGGACGAGGACGAGGAGGAGGTGTCCGAGGAAGAGAATGGCCAAGAGGATTGGGGGGATGTAACATCTGTCCCGTGGACCCCGTCTGGAGGCCTGCCATGGCAAGACTCTCGAGTCGCAACCCGTCGTGGCGACGAGAGCCTTTCAGAAGCGCCCAACAATGCGAGGCCAGAGTTTACACATTGTTCCCGGCGGAGCCGGGTGAAATTCCGTGCCCGCCGGCTGACTGATGACTGACTGAACGTCAGGGGACAGCTCGGGAGACACATTTCAAACCGCCCGCGGGAGCGCAACCCGGCGGCGCAACCGCAACCGCGACCGGGCGACACGTTTCAAAGCGCCCGCGGGAGCGCGCAACCGCAACCGCAACCGCAACTGGGCGACACATTTCAAAGCGCCCGCGGGAGCGCGCAACCGCAACCGCAACCGCAACCGGGCGACACATTTGAAAGCGCCCGCGGGCGCGCAACCGCAACCCAACAACCGCAACCGGGCGACACATTTCAAAACGCCCGCGGGAGCGCGCAACCGCAACCGCAACCGCAACTGGGCGACACATTTCAAAGCGCCCGCGGGAGCGCGCAACCGCAACCGCAACCGCAACCGGGCGACACATTCAAAGCGCCCGCGGGCCGCAACCGCAACCCCAACAACCCCGCAACCCCGGCGAACCATTTCAACGCCCGCGCGAGCGCGTCCAACCGCAACCGCAAACCGCAAACACGCAAACCGGCGACACATTTCAAAGCGCCCTCGTGAGCGCCACCGCAAACCGCACCCCGGCGACACGTTTCAAAGCGCCCGCGGAGCGCGCAAACCTGCAACCACCGCAACCGCAACCGGGCGACACTTTCATAACGCTCCAGCGGAAAGCGCAACCGCAAACTCGCAACCGGGGACAACATCCAAAGCGCCCCCGCGGGCGCCAACTCAAAAAAGAAAGAAAAAAAAACCGAACCGCAACCGGTCACCGGAGACACATTTCAAAGCGCCCGCGGGAGCGCGCAACCGCAAAACCGCAACCGCAACCGCAACCGGGCGACACATTTCAAAGCGCCCGCGGGAGCGCGCAACCGCAACCCAACCGGGCGACACATTTCAAAGCGCCCGCGGGAGCGCGCAACCGCAACCGCAACCGCAACCGGGCGACACTTTCAAAGCGCCCGCGGCGGCGGGCGCTCAACCGGCACACCGCACCGAGCGACCACCTTCAAAGCGCCCGCATGAGCGCGCAACCGCAAAACCGCAACCGCAACCGGGCGACACATTTCAAGAGCGCCCTGCGGGAGCGCGCAACCGCAACCCAACCGGGCGACACATTTCAAAGCGCCCGCGGGAGCGCGCAACCGCAACCGCAACCGCAACCGGGCGACACATTTCAAAGCGCCCGCGGAAGCGCGCAACCGCAACCGCAACCCGGCGACACATTTCAAAGCGCCCGCGGGAGCGCGCAACCGCAACCGCAACCGCAACCGGGCGACACATTTCAAAGCGCCCGCGGGAGCGCGCAACCGCAACCGCAACCTGGCGACACATTTCAATGCGCCCGCGGGAGCGCGCAACCGCAACCGCAACCGCAACCGGGCGACACATTTCAAAGCGCCCGCGGGCGCGCAACCGCAACCGCAACCGGGCGACACATTTCAAAGCGCCCGCGGGAGCTCGCAACCGCAACCGCAACCGCAACCGGGCGACACATTTCAAAGCGCCCGCGGGCGCGCAACCGCAACCCAACCGGGCGACACATTTCAAAAACGCCCGCGGGAGCGCGCAACCGCAACCGCAACCGCAACCGGGCGACACATTTTAAAGCGCCCGCGGGCGCGCAACCGCAACCGCAACCGGCACCCTTTCAAAGCGCCCGCGGGCGCGCACAAAAAAACCGCAACCCAACCGGGCGACACATTTCAAAAGGCGCCCGCGGAAAGCGCAACCGCAACCCGCCACCGGGCGACCATTTCAAAAACCGCCCGCGGGAGCTCTAAAAACCGCACAACCGCAACCCAACCGGGCGACACATTTCAAAGCGCCAGCGGGAGCGCGCAACCGCAACCGCAACCGCAACCGGGCGACACATTTCAAAGCGCCTGCGGGCGCGCAACAACAACCGCAACCGGGCGACACATTTCAAAGCGCCCGAAGGAGCGCGCAACCGCAACCGCAACCGCAACCGGGCGACACATTTCAAAGCGCCCGCGGGCGCGCAACCGCAAAACCGCAACCTGGTCGACACATTTCAAAACGCCGCGGCGCGCAAAAACCGCAACCGCAACCGGGCGAACACATTTCAAAGCCCGCGGGCGCGCACCGCAACCGCATTCCGGGCGACCATTTCAAAACGCCCGCGGGAGCGCGCAACCGCAACCGCAACCGCAACCAGGCGACACATTTCAAAGCGCCCGCGGGCGCGCAACCGCAACCCAACCGGGCGACGCATTTCAAAGCGCCCGCGGGAGCGCGCAACTGCAACCGCAACCGCAACCGGGCGACACATTTCAAAACGCCCGCGGGCGCGCATTCGCAACCGCAACCGGGCGACACATTTCAAAGCGCCCGCGGGAGCGCGCAACCGCAACTGCAACCGCGACCGGGCGACAAATTTCAACCCGCCCGCGGGAGGGCGCAACCGCAACCGCAACCGGGCGACACATTTCAAAGCGCCCGCGGGCGCAACCGCAACCGCAACCGGGCGACGCATTTCACCCCGCCCGCGGGAGGGCGCAACCGCAACCGCAACCGCAACCAGGCGACGCATTTCAAAGCGCCCGCAGGCGCAACCGCAACCGCGACCGGGCGACAAATTTCAACCCGCCCGCGGGAGGGCGCAACCGCAACCGCAACCGGGCGACACATTTCAAAGCGCCCGCGGGAGGGCGCACCCGCAGGGTTTCAGGGGGGTCGATTGCGCGTGCACTTGTGCGTAAGCTGCCCGCGGAAGGTGGCGCGTAGGCGCCTTAATGCTGTCTGCCGCGCGAGCGGCTTGCGTGATCCACCGCGCAAGGTCGTCGCGCCATCGAGTGCAACCCCCCTTCTGATCGTCTCCCTGGGGGGTCAGGCGAGTGGAATTGCCTCAGCCACATCTCGGCCACGCTCGTGGGACTGCCCCCCGCAGGGTTTCAAGGGGGTCGATTGCGCGGGCACTCGCGCGCATGCCGCCCTCGTAAGGTCGCGCGTAGGCGCTGTTACGGTGACGCGGTCTGCCGCGCGAGCGGCCTGCGTGAGCCACCGCGCAAGGTCGTCGCGCATTCGAGTGCAACCCCCCTTCTGATCGTTTCTCCCGGGAGGGTTCAGGCGAGTGGAGTTGCCTCAGCCACACTTCGGCCACGCTCGTGGGACTGCCCCCCGCAGGGTTTCAAGGGGGTCGATTGCGCGGGCACTCGCGCGTATGCCGCCTTCGTAAGGTCGCGCGTAATCCAATAGCCCTTATAACGGCGACGATGGAACACAGTGCCGGGGAACTGCTTTGAACATCACCAGTCGTTCAAAGCAGTGCCCCGGCACTGCTTTGAACGATGCGGAAATGCGATCAGCAGGAGCCTTCGTCTGTTCCTTCTCCTCTTCTCGTCGCTGTATGCTCTTCCTTGTCCTCCCTCCTCCCCCGTTCCCTCTCTAATTAATTACCTCGTTCTCCCAGTCTCACGCGCACTCTTCCTCCCCCCTCTCCTCCTCCTCTTCCTGCTTCTCCTCCTCGTCCTCCTCCTCCTCCGCCTCCTCCCCCTCATTTGTTATATTTCTCCGTCCTTGTCCTCCTGTCCCCGTTCTCCTTCTCCCTCTCCTCCTCCTCCTCCTCCTCGTCGTCGTCGTCCTCCTCCTCTTCCTCCTCCTCCTCCTCCTCCTCCTCTTCCTCCTCCTCCTCCTCCTCCTCCTCCTCACCTTCTTCCTCCTCCTCCTCCTCCCCCTTTTCCTCT